CTTTTACGTGGGCCGGGGACTGGGGCAGGAGCCTGTCGTCTCGCTGCCTGTGCTAAACTGCCCTACATGTATTTCTCTGCTCCCGAACACTGAATACTCATTTGGCCTCGTGGTGAACAGAATAAGCGTCCCCCAAAGATGTCCTCGTCCCTGGAAGGGACTTTGCAGAGGTGATTAAGTTAAGCATTTTGAGACGGGAGATTATCCTGGATTAGCTGGGTGGGCCCAGCTAACGTGATCACAAGGATCTTCATAAGCGGGAGACAGAGCGCCGGGGAAAGGAGATGGATGGGAGCAGAGGCTGGAGTGACGTGCTTTGAAGATTGGAGAAGGGTCGGAAGCCAAGCAACGCAGCAGCCTCCAGAAGCTGGAAGGGCAAGGAAATGGATCCCCCTAGAGCTTCCAGAAGGAACGCAGCCCTGTCAGCACCTTGATTTTAGCCCAGAGACCCAGTTTTGGACTTCCGACCTCCCAAACTATAAGATTATAGATTGGCATTGCTTTGAGCCACTACGTGGTGGTAAGTTGTTACAGCAGCAACAGGAAACTAACACAGTCCCTAAGGCTGGGGCAAGCAGCACCGCCAAGCCAGTAGGGTGGCCAAAGCAACACTGAAGCAATTGTCCAGAAAAAGACCCATCTTGGCTACCCTTTACACAGTGTCTTCTATGCCCTTCTCCAAGGAGTGAAAGAGAGAAGAAAAAGAACAAGAAGAGAATTGGAGGGAACAACATTAATTACAGTATTAAAAGCAATTAATCATGTATAAAATTATTCCAATGGGGGGGGGAAGGATCTGACACAGCTCTTGTATCTGAAATGCAGTACTGAATTATCTCAGCCTGGGGGACAGAAAGAATATTCTACCAGTCTGTATATGTAGTACCCGCAGACAACAACATCCGCATTCAGTCATTCTCATCTCGAACACGGGGACTCTGGCAGGGCTTACATGTTAGCACACGTAACTTGGGCAGCGTAGGAAAGTTTCCGTGAAGCATACTATGCTTAGCGAGCCAGATTTCTGAACATCTTTATTTATGGGTATAATAAAGATAGTAATCTAATTCCATGTGTTCTTTCGGCAAGGGTCTAATTTATTCATTCATCCCCCCATCCATTCCTTCATTCATTCACTTAACAACTGTTTATTCAGCATACATTATGTGCCAGGTGTATGTTATTGACATGGATACAGGGAAAAACATCTCCGTTCCCTTCCTTAAGGCCTTAAAGAGCTTGCAGTCTTTCACACAAGAACCATAAAATGCAAAAAAGGAAGACACAGGAGTGACACATGCATGTGGTGGGTGCAGAGAGGAAGATGCACTCGATTTTGAGAATTGAAGAAAGGCCTCGTGGAGGACAGGGTGGTCGAGCTGGCTTTTGAAGGAGAAATGGGAATTGATTGGGTAGAAAAAAGGGAGAAAGCAGAGAGATCAAGGTGCAACTATGAGAACAGAGCATTCTGATAGCATCACAGGTAGCATGGCATTTCTGGAGAGGAGAGTTCCACCTGCGCAGGCGGGAGTATAGGCTGTTAGGTAGGCAGGGGCCGGTCACGGGGCCCTTGCATGTGACGCAGAGCAGCTCAGCTTTTACCAGGCGGTAATGGGAAGCCACTGGGGACGAGCAAGGATGCGATGAGGGTCTGGAGGCAGTAAGGGGAATGGAAGGAAACAGAAGGGAGCAGCAAAGCCCTGGGATTCTGGGAACTAGACAGGCTTCCCTGCAGGCCGCGTGAAGGTATGACCAGGACACTGTTTGTCACCATGCTCCCGATGCCTCGCAGAGTGCCTGGCATGTAGTAGCTGGTAAAGACATAGCTGGTTCTATCTTCCTACCTCAATGGACTAGTGCAAATGAGCTGAGTCAGTGGGGACAGAGAAGGGGGATAGGACAGAGACCTAAGACATGGAAGAAAAGATTTGTCATTGTCTGGGCAGGCAGAACAGGGTGAAGCTTGGGCTCTGGACTCAGAAAGATGTGTTCTCATATCCCTGATCTGCCAGCTCTGCTTTGAGCAAATTCTTTCTTTTTTTTTTCTTTTCTGTTTTTGAGACAGTGTCTCGCTCTGTTGCCCAGACTAGAGTGCAGTGGCGTCATTATAGCTCACTGCAGCCTCAAATTCCTGGGCTCGAGCAATCCTCCTGCCTCAGCCTCCTGAATAGCTGGGACTACAGGTGTGGGCCACTATGACCGGCTAATTTTTTCTATTTTTAATAGAGACAGGGTCTCGCTCTTGCTCAGGCTGGTCTCCTGACCGCAAGCAATCCTTCTGCCTCGGCCTCCCAGAATGCTAGGATTACAGGCGTGAGCCACCATTTCCAGCAGCAAATTATCTCTTTAAGCTTCATTTTCCTCGTCTGTAAAATGCGGATCATAAACATATCTATTTCGATTGAGGCTTAAATGCACGTAAAGTGCTTAGTCCGGTGCCTGGCATATAGTGAGTGCTCAACAAATGTTGGCTTTGGGTTTTTTTGGTCACCGTGAGTCCCATGGTGACAAGTAATTATGAGAACATTGAGAGGGAAAAAAGATGTTTATCACCTTAAATCAAGTTTTTTTTTTTTTAAATCAAGTTTTTTTGAAAATTTAACAGGATCACCGTAAGCACCAAGAACACGTTTATATAATGGACTTTCAAAAAACATGCAAGTGTGTTTTAAAATTATGAAATAGATGAGAAATACAGGAGTATATGTAACTGATATGCATAATTTAAAGAATCCTAGTAAAAGTCACACCTGTTTGTCTACCACTCGCTTAAGAAATGGCACATTTTTTGCACCTAATGGGTGCGGTGCCACCGTCTGGGGGATGGACATGCTTGAAGCTCTGACCCCAGTGGGGCAAAGCCAATATCTGTAACCTAAACATTTGCACCCCTGTGATATGCTGAAATAAAAAAAAAAAAGAACAGTTTGACCTCTGATTTAGCTAAATAAAATTAAAGCAATTCTAAAAACAAAAGAAATGGCACATTTCAATGACATTGGACCCCTGTGTGTTTTTCCCAATCACTTCCCCCCTTACTCCTCCCAGAGGCGACCACTTTCTTAAATTTGGGATTCATCATTCCCTTGCTTTTCTCTATAGCTTTAACTTATATGTGTGTATGCAACATATTGCTTAGTTTTGCATATTTCTGAATGTTATAGAAATGGAATTATAAGTATGTATTTTTCTACTGCCTGGTTTTTCTTAGCATAGTGCTTGTGAAATCCATCGCTGTTGATGTATGTAGCTGTCGTTCACTCATTTTCACTGACATGAGATTCCATTTCATGAATCCAGCACGATTGATTCATCATTCTCTTAACAGCTGGACAATTAGTTTGTTTCCGGTTGTTTAGATACTAAAGTAATGTTTCCTGGGACACAGAGGTAAGAGATTCTCTCAGGTATAGACCTAGAAACGGAATTGCTAGGTATGTTAGTGCGTATGCTATGCTCATCTTCTTGGCTAAAAAAAATGGCAGTTCGTTTTCCAAACTGTTGTACCAATTTTGAAGGACTTCAACGACCGGTAGGTTCAAACACTTGGAAATGTTTCAGATTAATCCACCAGTAGGTACAGACCAGAAAAATGAGAGAATGAATGCCATGATTAAATAAAACTCCCACCTCTGTCCGGGCTTCAACATCGCATGCAGTTGCAGCAACAGTAAGAGCAGCTTTGCTCTGCACGACCGTGTTTGCAGAATGCAGAGGGCTGATGATGGCGTGCATGATGTCGTGGCTCTGTATGCTCACGCGCAGGGGCTCCTGCGTGGCCATGTTTGTTAATACTGTGGCCGCGTTGACAATGGCTCCGTCTCGTTTGCTAGACAGGACGTTTATTAATGGATCAATACCGTCGGCTTCAGCAGCAGCTCTGAATAAATGAAGGAGAAATGAATGTGATTCATCTGAGCTCGAGAAATTATCTTTGGAGCATGCAACTAAGCTTATAAAACAAATGAGTACAGAACTACAATTTTAGAAATAAATTAATTTGCCACGCGACGAACCCAGGATTGAGTGCTAGTGATTTAAGTGGAGTCTGGGAAAATTTCAGGAGTGAATGAATTTATTAATAAATTATCTTTTTCCTACTTCTACAGCTTTTGGTTATAAAAAAATATGACTACTATTTCTTAAAAATCCTACTACAGTACAACTGTTATTTTTTTTTTTAACTCAGTGATACTTAGGAGACCTGGAAATTCTATTCAAAGACAGTCTATTAAAATATTCCTAATCGTTAGGAAAATAGAGCCTTAAACAGGAAGAATGAGCAAGCATGGAAACTCTTGATTTAAGTTAAAATTCTTTAGCTCGTCTTCCCCTTCTTCAAATTAGGTTGTTAATTGTAGGCAGAGGTTAACACATATGAAGCCAGCAAATCATTTTGCATGTGAATGCTACTTTTTACAAATTAAACATCAAAGATGAAAGTCATGATATTCATATAAATAATTTCAGTAATATAGGCATATTCAGTTACATTTCCTGTTTCTTGTATAAAAAGATTACAGTTATCCTTAACATATTAGTATTGTTTTCATAATTAGAAACCCTAAGTCTTTTAGAACATGGTACTTTCTATAGGCCTTGTTTTTTAATCACTTTAAAAACTCATAATAGTAAAAATAAAAACTGGAGTGTTTTAATGAATGGGAGACGATTTAATTATGTTTGTCAATGTTTGGAATTGCTTCGTATAGTAGATATTCTAAGCAATAAGATATACAGAGCATCCTGATTTTAAAGGAAGATCCAAAATTATGTGTTAAAAATCCATTTAAATCATCATGGTAAGAGCTGGTCAAGACAATAAAAAAAAATACTTGAGACTTCCTCCAATAATACGAAAATCTCTTTTAAGTTTATATTTGACATCTTTTTTTCATTTGGGATCATATAATAACCAAAATTGAAAAAAAAAAGTGAGGCTGTATGATGTAGCCCATCACTCTCTATTCTGATGAATTAAATTTCATTTGGTTCTGTCACTTAAGCATGAAGGAGGACTGGCAACTCAAGAATAGACAGGACAATTGTCCATCGGAGAGGAGATAACAAATAAAACCCCAATAAGTAGACTCGTAGGCCCAGGGACAAGGAGGTTCTGTGATTGTGGCACAAAGTGGCTCTGAAGGGAACTGAGCCACAGGGCTGGGACAGGAACGAGGGGAGTAGAGGTGGTGGCTCTGGAGAATGAAGGCTCAGTCGGTGTTGACCTTGAAGGGCCACCTCTCCCATGGGTCATACGAACCAGTCCATCAAACAGACCACATTGAGACAAAGGCGAAGGCAGTGACTAGTCCCTTCCTACTCATTCTCCAGTCCTTGGTGTACACTGAACCCTTCTTGTGGTATCTCCCATTCTTTCTCTGGAAAGACATCCCTTAAAATTACAATTAAAATAGAGTTGGATGACATACAACCGAAATTTACTTATACAAAAATGTTGGAAGGCCCTGAACCTCACTGTGATAGCCCAAGGGCCAGCATTTAATTTCCTTTCCTAGGGGATAAAATAAACACTCGTAAGATAATTTCACTTTCAATTCTCTCTCCTGTTATTAAGTGACATGGTAGTCATTTGGCTTTATGAATAATGGAAATATTGGAAACATCTTATATTTTTACTTACATATTTTTACAGTTGAAACATTGAATATTTTTTTAAAAACTGCCAGCAAGAATTTTAAATTATGTAGGTTTTCTAATTCATTATATATACTTAACCTTTTCAAAAATCGTTTTTTTCCTTTGACTTATTTTTCAGGTACTGAATGCAATCAGTCTTTTAAACCAAATACTTTGTATTCTTTAATCACTATAAACATGCCTTGGCTGAAAAGCGTGATTCCTTTGTCACTGAGTGGCTTTTCCTTTGATGATGTTCACTTTTTAAAACATCTTGTTGAGTTAAGAAAGAGCACACAACGGAGATACTTCAATGTGCTAGAAGATGGAGTGTTTCAAACAAATGTATACCAATCAATTCTCAAAGGTTTTGTCTTTCGTGTGTATCAAGGAGTTTTTGGAAAATTAAAGAATACATAGGATCACACATCATCGTTTTAGTTTCTCTTGAAAACTAAGAAGCCGAGAAAAATTGGGTCATTGAGATGCAGGCATTTATACCAGGAGCACCTGAGCGCTCAGCCTTCCTGTTTGATTTTACTTCTTTCTTTCTCCTTACAAAGGCATATTTTGACTTGGTTCATTTATAACTCTACCTTCTGCTCTTTTCTTTGCTCTTTATGGAGACAGTAAAGGGAAATACATAAAAACCTAGCTGTTTAAAAATCCAAAGATCCTAGTACACAGCGGAATTTAGCTTTTACCCAAATTGAACATAAACGCCAGCGCAGGAAGACAAATCACGTATGCACAGCTGGGAGGAACAACTTGCATTAAATGTACGTATCTGCCTGGAATTTGCTATGTGCATCTCTGTGTAAGTCTAAAAAGAATACCTGAGATTAGCTTATTATGGTGGAAAAATCAAACTATGATTTTTACCTAAAAAAACTAATTTCATTTATAGAAATACAGTGCAGGATTTGTACTTTTTAAAAAAAGAATTGCATTAATTCTGTTTCTTTCAAGCCCAAGACATTCTGTTTTATTTTTCCCTGTGCCTAATATGTACACAAGCTGAAGCCTGTCATATTTTAAAAACACATTTCGGTTTCCTAAATAGTACAGCATTATCCAAATGAATGGGATGGAAGTCAAACTGCTTTGTTACAAAATCCAGAATTATAGGGCCATATGACATCACAATCATTTGAAAATATTTTCTGATATTTACTATCATTATTCTCCATCCAGTTGGAGTTCAATCAAGTAGGAGTTTAAAATGTAAATTGAAAAAAAAAAAAACAAACTAAAAAACAAATATGGGAATGTATAAAAACTTCAGTTTCTATCGTTTGATGTATGTAAACAGAGGTGAAGTTTGACATGTCATGTGTATTCAGTCTATTACCAAGTCCTGACTATTTTTCTCTTCCATATTTTCAAATCTCTCCCTTCTCTCCATCCTCCTCCCGAATCCAAACCAGCATCCTCTCTTGTGGATTGATATGAATAATACATAAAGCATATATAACAGATCTCTCCTCTCGCCTTCCTCTTTTCTCCGTCTTACAGCTAAAGTCATCTTCTAAAATTAAAAATATGATCATATTGCTCCCCTACGTAAAACTTTCATGGTTTCCCACTGCTCAGGATAAAGCCCTATGTTTCTGCCATGGCCCCCGAGGCCCTGCGTGAGTGGCCCCACGTACCCCATCTGCCTCTTCCTTGTTCTCCGTGTGTGCCCTGGGCCTCTCTGGCGACATTCAACATGCCATGCTCTTCCCCACCCCGGCGTACTCCCCTCTGCTGCTCCCACTTCCTGACGCACTCTTCCCCTGCATAAGCCCCAGTCATCTTTCATAGTTCGGCACAAATGTCTTTTCCTCACCGAAGCATTTCTTGATCCCAAAACTAGGTCTCTTTTTTTACACGAGCTCAGGGCATTCGTGTGATAACTATATGCATTTCTTTTTGTTTAAAAAAAATGATGTTTGGGCACAAATATTCACAGTCAGAGAAAAGCAACGATTTTAAAATATTATTTTTGCAGCAGTTGTTATGGAACGAATCCAGCGCAGTTTTTCATTCAGGTTCCCAAGGCTGGCAATGAAAAATCACTTACAGAAAGCGTACCAAGAACATCGCTGGGGAAGAATTCGAATACACAAATAGTGTTTATTTATGGGTCACTGAAAATACCATGCTATTCGTGTCTGTGTTTTTGCACTGGTGTTCCCTTTGCCCCCAACACCCTTCCCTGTGCCTCCTGCCCTTCTGCCTGGAGAACTCTGGTCACTCCTCGCTCCCTGCTCACCTGTCCCTTCCTCTGCAAAGGCATCCGTGACCATCACTGTTCCTCCTGTTAATCACTGCCTCCTCTGGGCTGTGTCTACACCTGGCACGCCCTTTGTAGAGGTGTTATTTGAGTCTTACTTCTATCTCCAGGGCTGAGATAATCAATATATTTTAATTGACTTGAATCAACTCAAGAAGAGTGACGGAGAAAACCTCTGCAGGTGTTGAGAAGGAGGGAGGGAGAAAGTGCTTAGCTCTGCTCTAAGTTTGCAAGAAGAGTTAGGACCCAACAACATGAGATTTCCAATTTCATCACTTACAGCTGCTCTTGAAATCAGTTCATTTCCTCCCCTACCCCCGATGCTTCTCCAATTATACTGTGTGGTAATTTCTAGACAGAGTTCAATAAATACGATTTTGCACTTGAGATAATTTCTTAGAATATATTCATTTCTTACATCAAGGGACGTCTACATTTTGTCATTGCAGACATTGTTGACTGTGATTATCTGAGCGTGTACCAGATGACACCATTTGGTACCTTTCAGAATTGGATCCTTGCTGCTGTTTGAGGTTCACATTCAACCCATCTGCAGAGTCTGGTTACATGAATCAAGGGTGACCTTGGGCAGTAGAGAAATCTGTTTAACAGAGCCCACATACAGGGTAATATGTGGAACCCGATGGAACAGATGGTAATATTGGCAATAAGAACCTTGTTTGTTAACAGTGATTACAACCATTCCCACCAGCATGACTTTTCATATGTCTCTGTGAGTTTTGTCACACCAAGGAAGACATATTGGCGGCAGACACGCTGCAAGTGGTCAGGGGAAGCGCACAGGCGGTGGTGACTCGGGGTTGGCATTTTTAAGCCTTACAGGCTGACGGTAAGTCTGTACCGGTGGAATGTGGCCGTTACGATAAACACGTCTCCTGGTTATCACAGCCAGATTTGGAAAGCCGTAAACAGAATTCCTGACTCTTGTTCCAGCCAGTTTT